TTTTTTTGGGGGGGGGGGGGGGCAAAAAAAATCTTGCACCAGGGCCCTTTGTTCCTTAGCTCCGCCACTGAACCAGACTGGTAGCAAAGTAGCTTACAAAAAATCTTGCAGCGCTCATGCCTGTAAACCTTTTATTCTCGCCCAGTGCAGAGGAGAAACCTGTGTCCTGTACTGTAAAAAGAATGCAGACATAGAAGAAAGCAAGCCCAGGGTGAATTCAGCAATGTATCACTGTATTCATGTACTGTTCTTATCTTGTATCTCATGATGCTCCTTTACTGGGGTCCAGGCAGTTTGTGCATTTAGTTTGGTGATAAAGTATGCTGTGTACTCAAAGTTCTCCCACTGGTATGTGCAGCTAGATCCAGATTGGTAGAAGAGTAGAGTTACAGTTTGTCCTACTGTTTGTAATCATTGGTTTTAGGTCTACTAAGTAGAATGGACATACTGGGGGTGATTTACTAACCTAAACACACACACGCACTAGGTGCGTGTGATTTTTACACAGCAAAACGTATTTATCAACCAAAAAGTCTCTAAAAGCATATTTCCACTAATGCCATATATGTAAAAATCATGCACATGGTGCATGTATAATGCTGCTTCGCAGTTTAGACAAAAATGGTTAGCTCATGCATTTACCTTCCTGCATTCATCAACGCAAGCAACACAATGTAGAGCTAATTTACACAACATCACCTTGCAATTCATGCTTGGCTTTGCACAACACACCTGCTGGGTGTGTACACACTACAAAGGTGTCTAGATTCCACCAATAGATCATGCTGGGAGGGAACACACTATAGAGGTGTATACTTGTTTGTGGCGTGTTTATAAGGTTAGTAAATCAACCCCACTGTGTCTTTCAGGTGGTGTGCCTGGTGTGGTAATGGCCCCCAATCTTGTTAATGTTATACCAAGGTCAGCCAGTCAACTAGGCAGAGAAAAATGAAAAGGTGGCACAAGACTGTGTAATTGCTGTTTTTGGAGTTCTTCTCTAAACCTAACAAAGGATCCATTGGCTCTCATGTGAATTTGGTGGCCACCTCCAAGCAACAACAG